AGGAAACGTGTTAGGCTGAGAGCATATGCAGTCGCTACCTTGGACTCGCACGCGCGACTGCACCTGATCTGAACTCTGTGCCAAATAGCATGATCCGTTAAAGCTGCCAAGTCGGAGGTCCGTCAGTTTGCTTGAACTGGGCAGGCTGATCTGATGGTTTGCGTGCTCTTGGCCTCCTGCGCTGGCGAACCGGTCCAGCGCACCATGCAGCGTAGTCATCACCGCACACAACGGTAGAGCCGTAGAGTTGTTGACCAGGAGCGCGCGCCTGCTTGCACCCTGTGCGCTGTAGTTTCCGGATAGAAGTGGCCAAATGGGCTAGGGTAAATGGACCGGCACGTGGACCTTCTCAACTAGTAAAAGAAAAGAAAAAATTCATTTTGCCTTCTTTAACTATCACAAAAGTCAGTTTTTTCTCTTTCAACTCAAAAACCAAAAACAGCTCCTCCCCATCTCTCAAAACCGGTCACTTGACCCATGGCAGTTTTTATGTTGGTTTTTCTTTTTTTCTTTTATGTTTATTTTGGCTAAATCTTTGAAAAATCATAGTAAATCATAGAAAAATTATAACATGTAAAACCTAATTGTGTTGCACTCCACATGAATACATCTACATAGTGAACATATATATGATAAGGTGTGTTTTAGTATAAAGTTTTTGTTGTAATTTTAGATCTATAATTTTCTATAATTAATTCATAGTTATAGTTTCTCCTATCCAATTGTGGTTAGATTTATATGGTAGGCTAATCATTGCGTGCTTGATCTGTAGTAAAAATTTCATGTCCATTAGACCATGTATGATTGAGTTATAGATTTATCTAGGTTTATGTTTGTTAAATTAGTTTTTAAATGAAATTAAATCTATAACTTAAACATACATGATCTGATGAGCATGGAATTTTTGTTGGACTCCACATGAGTTGATCTACATAGTGAACATATGATATGGTATGCTTTGGTGCAAAAATTCTTTATATCATTAGATATATGTTTTTTTGTAATTAATTCATAGGTGCAATTTTCGTGGTCCAATTAAGACAAAATTTTTATGGTGGGCTAATCATTGCATGATTGAGATCGACAAAAATTTCATGCTAATTGGATCATGTATGACTGAGTTATAGTTTTATCTAGATAAACATAGATAAATCAATAGATAAACCTAGATAAATCTATAACTCAGTTATATATGATTCAATGAGCATGAAATATTTACTATAGCTCAAGCATGAAATTATTAGCCCAACATAAAAATTTCACCACAATTGGATAAGAGAAAGTGTATCTATGAATTAATTATACAAAAGCATAAATCTAAAATTACAACAAAAACTTTGTCCTAAAGCATACTATATCATATGGTTTTTGAGAATACTATATCATATGTTCATTGTGTAGATGTAGTCATGTGGAGTCTAACACAATTAGATTTTCTATTTTATGATTTTTTTTTTGTGATTTACTATGTTTTCTCAAAGATTGAGCCGAAATAAACATAAAAGAAAAAAGAAAAACCACGGAGGGAAACAGCCACGGAGGTCAAGCGAAGATAAGGGAGGAGTTATTTCTTATTTTAGAGTTGAGAAAAAAAGGCTGACTTTTGCGATATTTGATAAGGTAAAATGAATTGTTTCCTAAAGGAAACAGCTAATAATAACCCTGGGCCTTGTCGCGGGCGTCGGTCTGTGGGCCTCAGCCACGCCCCAGATACGTTGGGGGCATTCCGTGTTGCCGGTGTCCAGCTGGAACGAGCTCTCTTCATGTTCCTGCGTCTTCTGCAGTCTGCTCGGCTCCCGGCCACAAGTGCATGTCAACTATAGTCCTGTTTGATACAGATTAGAGCATCTCCAAGAGTTTTTAAAACTCACTTCCAATTTTGATTTTTCGGTGAGATCGAAAAAACTGCTCTCCAACAACTGTCAATCTTTACGCACTTGGAAAAATCAATCCAATCGTGGGAAAATACACGCGGCGTATCGTTCGGCCAACTTGAGGTGGAGGGCGTGAAGAACAATAAGAAGTAGGATAGGGTTTCTAATGTAAATATACAAATAAGAAATAAAATATAAAATTTGTTAGGTGATTTGCAAATAGTCCGGGGTTCAATTCGTGATGCAAAATTGCCTTCTATATTTTAGGAGCGAAATTTTGATATTTGTTGGAGGACTAAACAAATATGCTTTCAATTTTTTAGCCACTTGGAAAACTAATTGATTTACCAATTTTTTAGAACCATTGGAGATACTCTTATTTGGTAAATACTCTCTGGGTTTCAAAATAAACACACTTTTAGCATTCAAAATTTATCCCACAATAAATGCACTTCTAGGCATAGACCACCTAGGACTAGTACTTTTTTCTACTTTCTCTATTCGCAACGTGCAATTATTACATGTTACCTTACCTTTTTTAGGTAGGATATATATGTAATTTTATAGTGGCATTGGTTTCTCCCCTCAATTCAATTCTAGAAGTGCACTTATTTTGGGACGGAATAAGTACTTCTTAAGTAAGCTATACAAATAAAGTAAAAACATGATCAAAATAAGTTGGGTTTTTGTTTTTTATATAAATGAGGGTAGTGGGAACAAGCGTGTCCAAGCTATAAAAAATTGTATCATTTGGCTATTGGTTTCAGTTTAATTTAGCTATATGTAGTTTATATAAGTTGTATCGAGCAAGCCCTACATCTACAACGTCAGTTTTTTTTAAGGCAAGGGGACTGATATTAAACCTTGGCACGGTACATCCCCAAATTACACGTGGCAAAATCTGAAATAAAAGATATATAATATTCTATCCAGATTCTTCCATCGTCTTCTTCCCTAATGGCTTTCCTCGAACGCAGGAGCCAAAGTGCAGTCCTTATACCGAATCCAGCGGCCAACCCCAAAACATTGGACATGCCGCAACATCCAACGCTTCGGAACCAATTCAAAACGCATCTAAATCGCTGAAAGAATATTGGCAGTTGCACCGTCGGGTACGACATAGGATGTAGATTCATCACCTCGAGACCTTGATTTCCTCTCCGTGAACATCGACGATGAGATCGATAACCCGAAGTCGCTATCCTCGTAGGGGCTCCCAGAAGCACCCCTCCTCTTGCAGATAAAGGCCACAAATTGGCTGCCTACCGATGAAATCGACGCCTACAACGGCGATCTCGTCGTGGCAATCACCGAATTCATCGCATGACACACGATCCTGACCGGAAATCATCTGATTTCACCGGAAATTTATTTAGACTCAATTCTAAGACACTAGAAAACTTGGGGAAAAGGATGGGTGCCCTCCCATCTTGTCTCCAGTAGACGTGCCGGAGAGGAAGAAAGAGAGGAGCCCTGGACGCGGCGGCGGCGGTGGAGCGAGGAGCGGGCAGGCGGCGGCGGCTCTACCCAGCGGCCTGCAACGATAGTTCCTTCTACATGCAGCGCCCCTCTGCTATTCCATGTAATTCTTTATGAGATAAGAGCATCTCCAAGAGACTATCCATATCCTTCCTAAATGCTATGAATAGAGATTTTGATGAAAAACTACTCTCCAACAGCTTATCTCAATGGTTATCCAAATATAGCCGTCTTCTATTCCGTATTTTTCGCTAGCAAAAAATAGAAGACGAGAATGGCTCTCTAGAGTGCGCATGAGATACAAAAGAACCGTTGGAGAAGAAAAAGATATAGAAAGCGATTTTTATGTAAATGATTCTCCAAATGATGATTTAGAGAGTGAGATTTAGAAATGCTCTTGAAGATGCTCTAAGAATGTCAATTCTATCCCTATCCCATGCATGCATACAAAATCTACCTTATGCACTATTTTTTTTGAGAGGATAATTTATCTGCTCGATTGTGAAAGTTTTGCGGTGCTGGTGTCAAACTAGCAGCGTGATTCCAAAGGAAAAAAAAATCTCAATCGAGTATAACTATATATGCATGTGTGGATAGCGTATATATGTTCCATCGAGACAGTACCAACAGGGATTGGATGGGTCCCCATCGACGCTGACTAGGAGCATTCGATCACGCGTGACCGTTCGAAGCTGCTGAACTCCGTAGAAGGTAGCCGGACGAAATGGGCTATCCAGATGCCGCATGGAAATGGAAGGGGCTAACGGGGTTGGGCGGTTTGGCCCGTTGGCCGTGTCGCCTTTGGTTTAACCGGCGCAACACGACGTCGTCTGGGCATAGCCGGAACATGTGAAGAAAAATCGATACTGCGAAATTCACCGTCCCTTTGGTCCAACATGTCGTCGGCCTTCACCGCGAAGGTGTCGTCCCCTGCCATTGTAAGTCCCTGTCGCACAGACGAGCAACCCCAGTGGGAAATATATACGGATACGGGGTTGCGTGCGACCGTGCGTCGCTCACGTCGTCCGGTGCAATGCAACATTCTCACCGTTCCGTCCCGTGAGTCCGTGACATTTTCCCAAAATGTCTTGGCTGGCTGGATCTGCCGAGGCCTAGCTAGCCGTTGCTGTCTTGCTGACTTCCTGTCTGTTCCCCCGCTATCGGCAACATTTGGCACGCAGCCGCCGCGTTGGCTGCTTGCTTGCACAGCGTGGCCGCCCGCGGAGGCCCCCGGCCCCGAGCGCCACGCCAGAAGCTTCTCGTTTTCCCCGCCGCAGCCCGCACCCGCAAAGATCGGATAGGAACACGCGTGCGGCCGCGCTGTCGATCCCAGCCGGTAGCGGCCATGCAAGGGGCAGCTTTGTTCCGCTGGCAATTCGCCGTGATCACGTGCAAAGGGCCGGCCGCTGTCGCCGCGAGTTCCCCAACCAACCGCGTCTCCCCTCTTCGATATAACCCAGCCCCGTGCGCGGCCACCACAGAACGGTCAAATCCGGAAGCACAGCACACACACTTCGTTCTCCCCTCGCAGTCGCAGCTCACGCCAGCTCGATCATCTGCTTGTCGCTTCGCGGTCGCGGCGCTCTTCGTTGCTTCCTTCCAACCCCTGACTCTCTCGTGCGTGAGCCAGCCGCGGGCGGTGTTCAAATGGCCGTCGGAGCAGGAGTGCGCGTCTCGCCGTCGCCGTCGTCGATGGAGGTGTGGGGGAGGAGGAGGAGGACGGGTACGGTGACGGCGAGGCGCGGCGCCGCGGTGGCCATCAGATGCAGCTTCGTGGGCGAGGCGGGGGTGGGCGCGGCCGGGGGCCTGGCGGAGGAGCACTACCGGACGCTGCGGCTGCGCCCGGGGTCCACCAGGAACGAGGTCAAGAAGGCCTTCCGCCGCCTCGCGCTAGTGGTGCGTCGTCTATAACCATAACCTCCGTACTCTCCATTGATCCAGCGATCAATCAATTGCCATATCCACGCCGAAACAACTGATTGCGTGTTCCTCTGTCTGACGAGTTCGTTCGCTCCCTTGTGCCCGTGCAGTACCATCCGGACGTTTGCAAGGACAGCGACCGCGACACCGGCGTCGAATTCCAGAAGATCAACATCGCGTATCACGTACGTGAGCTTACTACTACTCCTACTCCTACTAAACATTTTGTTGGTTTTTGTTTCTGTTTCTTGACCTCACGGCTGACGCAATCCGTCATTGGGTGCAGATACTGATGAACAACATGAGGGAGGCCGAGGAGCGGCTCGAGTACTGGCGGCTCAAGTACGGCCTCAACGACCAGGATCTCGACAGGTACAGGTACTTCCTCAACGACGACGACGACGACTGGCTTGACATGTGAAGAAAACTGACGATCGATCGATCGATAGACACGGATTTTTATACGAAGCGTGTTTATCCACATTGACCTTAGTGGCTTACCATACCATCGATTAATTCTTGTTGCCATGGCAGAGGCAGCAGCTAGCACTGTATGTATGTATATATATATTGAAGCGTTGTGATGATGTGTACTTCTCCCGTGTTTTATAGTGGGTGAAGGGATACACATATAGACCAAAAGTGTAGTGACACTAGTGTTATATACGAAGATTTGTGACAAGAGTTATGTTGGTAAAGAGGATTTCTAGTTTGGTGTATGTTCAGTATGATAACATATATACTACTCCATATATTCCAAATTATAGTTGTTCTGACTTCTAAAAATATATTGATTTTACTATATGCTACCTAGACTATCTATATACATAATAAAAAAACTATGTATTTACAAAAGTTAAAACGACTTATAATTTAGAATAGAAAGTATATAAACATGAAATACAAATTGTTTAGCATCTCCAAATATTACCTAAAATCTATTCCCAAAACTATTGAAAACAAACAGAAGTCGTGTGCTCCAATAATAACCTAAAATCATTCGTAAAATTCCCACGTGCCCAATCCATCCATCATCACTCACATATTTTGCTGGCTCTCAATGCACCCAATAATCCTGAGTATAAAACTATTAAAAAGTTGAGTAATTAGTAACCTATATGTTTTACCTTAAATATTAATGTACACAAAGTTAATATGATTATTGATATATAATTAATTTTACAATTAGTATGACTATATAGGTTTATTATTATTCATTATATATGTATAATAGAAGTTAGTATGTTTATTATATCATATTTCAATATCTTATTATATAATTTGTTTTTAAAAACTATTGGATAGACATTTATACTTAACAAAACTAAATGGATATTCAAATCCGACAAAAAATAAGGTAATGATGACATTTACATATGCAATTCTATACGTATTTGATTCGTTTCCATCCAGGGGTGTTCCATGCCGACGCCCCGCGCCTCTTTTATGGATCACGCATGCAACAAAATGAAGTGGCACAATTTTTAAGTTTTTGGCAACCAATAAGGGAACTGTTCGTGTTCGAGGACAATTTTTTTCTTAAAAACCAATTGGCTAGCTTCCAGAAACAGCCTTTTTATGTGCAGATTCTTCCCTTCCTCCGACATCTGTTTTTTTTCCCTTTAAAGGCCATTTGGCTAGCTTCCAAAAACAGCCATTTTATGTGTAGATTCTTCCCTTCCTCGGACATCCTTTGATGCCTTCTTCTCTTGAATCTTGATACTGTTTGCTTGCATCGCGACGGATCATGGCCGCCCTTGCCGCTGCCGTTCGCCCCTTCGCCGGCGGCGCCCCTCGTCGCGCCGCGCCTGCCCCTTCTGACGCTAGTGTGCGCGCGTCTGGGAAGAAGCCGCGGCACGTCGTTGCTCCCGCACGAGACACGTCGGTTTGCCACGCCGGGGTCGACGAGTTGTACGTGCCCAGCCAGAAGCGCAAGATGACCTGCAACCGCAACAACGTCGAGGGTTTTGTTTCGCCAAATGGCAGTTCCTTTAGGCGCTCCAGAATTACCCGGCCAAAGCAACGGATCAACCCGCCCGTGCGAAATGAATAGTAAATTTCCTGTTTTTGAAGTCTATTTGATTTTGAAGTCTAGAGCATATATTGAATGAATTTTGATCAATTTGAAGATGTAAATTTCGGTAAAATTGCCGCCGACACGAAGGTCTTAACCGTCGGCGGAGAGATGTCAGCTCGGGAGCTCCTACAGAAGCGCCTGGCGTGCGAGCTCGATGTCTTGAGCGGTCTCCTAAAGAAAGCAGAGCTTATATCCCGGCGTGGGGCATGCAAGGGCGGCGCAACAACTGCCGGCAAGAAGGAGCGGTTCTTGGCCTCCAAACAGCGACCTGAGCCGTTGGTGGATGGTGGAGGCAATGCGCCTTTGGTGAAGAGGAGGAAGATTTCAACTCTGGTGGAGCAGAAGCAGATACGGGCGCCGCGGATGTCGCAAGAAGAGAGGAATCAGCTTGCTGGTCGCCTGTCCTCGCTGTCTGAGGAACTGCCAGGGCACATCTTTGAGTTCCTGCTGAAGCACTTCGGCGATGCCGATACCCGTGGTGAGATCGAGATTGGCATTGACTCTGCGGAAGACTCTGTACTGTTCGAGCTAAAGACACAGCTCGACAAGTTTGCCCAGGAACTCCCCATCGTCGTGGATGTCCTCCCGGAGGAAAAGGATGAGAAGCTCGCTGAGGAGAGCAAAAGCAAAGGCAGCAGGCCAAGCTCAAGAAGCAGCAGTGGTTCAGACACGGGCAGTTACTCTGATCGCAAAAGCGACTCCGACGAGTTCCCAGCTCTACGGGGAGCTCTCCCCGAGCAGATCACTGTGACGTCTGCGCAGCCACCGTCGGAGCCGGCATCAGGGACGGCGCAGAGTGGTGAAGCAAAGAAGGTCAAAGACGTCCAGCGTGCCGCGCCCAAGATTGTTTACCTGGCCGGTCTGATCTACAGGGCGAAGGTTCGCCGAGGGCTGATGGAGATGGAGAAGGCGGTGCTGCCCGACGAGAGCATCCACCCGCGGGACCTGCAGCGTCTCGGCATCGCCGAGTATGGCCATCCCAGCATCATGCGACAGCTCGGGCTCTTCCTCAAGGCCAACGACGCGTAGCGCGCGGCGAGCAGAAGGAGAGACGCGGTAGCTGTAGATCGTAGAGCGTAGATGGCGTCATACTGTCATGCACTGATGGCATGTATTTTGTCTGTGTCAAGTAACCTAAATAAAAAAAATCTTCTGTCAGGCAATGTGCTTAAGTGCTGAGCAAGGCAGTTATTTGTTTCAGCAGTCAGCACTGAACACTCCAGGAAATATTCAGAGGTATGCCACCTGATCACTCGCGCCTGATTGCCGCCTGCAGAGAATCAGCTAAGCAATGGAGGTGCCGCCTACCCCGAAACGACGCAACTCTTTCTTTTATCTGGTGTAATAATCGGTTTCACACCGGCATCTGTGGCATTAATATATCAGGCGGGGTTATTTAAAACCCCCCGTCGTTGATCTCAAAAAAAAAAACACAGACCACTGACATGCAACTAACCACAACAGCTAGCAAGCTTCCATCAAGAGACCGAGGCTTGATTCATCTGCCATGAAACAGCTTCGACAGGCACCTGTGATTCCTTCGCCTTCAAGCAATCCCTCTGCTTGCTGTTTTCGAGTTCATCAAAAATAGATCAGAAACACCTGAGCAATAGTTTGACAGGAGAATGTCTAGGAGCACGCTGGACTGCCCAAATCTTGGTACGTTGTGTCAGGTACGGGGTGGTTATTTATCACTGCAGATCTGTTTGGCCTGAAGCCGACTGCAACGGTTGCCATCCGATGCTATGAAAGTAGCGAGGGAACAAAACAGCAGCCGAGCATCCCCATTCAGGTAGGTTTTCTGCAATATCTCACGTTCAATTGATGGCTCTGGTAAACCAAAGTGTTACTAGTTTTACAGATGATCACTAGTTAAGCCAACTGACTCACCAACCAGAGTCGGTTTTAACAAGCACAAAACAAATCTATACCAGAAGGGACAGAGCAAATTGGTTTCACAAACCAAACAAGAATGGCAATTAGCAAAAATACTAGCATAATCTTTTTTTTTTTTCACCTTGATATGTATATTGTATCTGCTTCATCGGGGTGCTGCAGACATGCCGTCACCCAAAATTTCCAATTTATTTCTCAAATCTCAATAGATGTACAAAATGTGTAGGGATGATGTACAGTGTATGCTCAGTTACTGCATTGTGTGTTTCGCTTTACAAAATATAAACTACAGACTAGGCTACAGGCTACAGCCTACAGCCTACAGCCTACAGCCCTACTCCTCGGCAGGAGGATCCACCCATCGGCCATGGTCCTTGATCAGCTGGATCAAAGCGTCAGTGGCACCTTCCATAGCAATGCCGCGCTGCACAACAGTCTGCAGAAACAAAGATGCATTGTTTTTAGCAGGATGGGAACAGCAGCTTCGGGTATCGGGACAAGTAACTGCAGATCAAAAAAGCATTGTTCTATCACGGGCTCACAGCCGCATTTGCGTGCCCTCGGAGTGCTAACTGGGCCAGGCAGCTCTGGCCAGTAGCAAACCTGTTTGGCCCAAGTGTTTCTGAGACCGGCGAACAAACAAATCCGAATGCACAGCTACTGTTCAACAACATAGTAAAACTTTCCATTTCATATACATGATTTTGGCAACCAAGCAATGGAATTGTTACCTTGCCAACGTAAAGGTCGATCTTTCCAGGAGCGCCTCCAACATACCCGAAATCGGCATCGGCCATCTCTCCTGGACCATTGACAATACAACCCATGATAGCGATCTGCCAGGCAAACATGTATATGGTTGATCAGTATAATTGATAGAAAAGAAGGAAACGCATATATAGTTTATCCTTTTTTTTTTGAAAGAGCCATATACAGTTGATAAGACCATATATATTTGAATCAGAAAACTTACCGAGACACCTGGCAGATGAGAGGTCTTTTCTCTAATCTGAGCGCTGATTTCCTGAAGGTCAAAGAGTGTTCGGCCACAGGAAGGACAAGACACATATTCCTACAGCATTCACAGTCAGAAAATCACTTTTCACAAAATCTATTCTCATCTCAGAGAGAAACATCAACAGTTATTTTTTGTTTGGCTGTTTCTTTTCCCTTTTTTCTTTTTTTTTTACTACAACTCTGCAAGTAGTGGTATATGCTGTCCACTGGATATACAGACAGAGATAGCTATATCATTAAACCAAAAAGAAAACATGAACGTACAGTTTTTGTGTTGCGCATCCTGCAACCCTGGAGCAAGTTGAAAGATGTGTCCCTCAGGAACTCAAATTCCTGGTCAGCAGCTTCAAGAAGTACACCATCACCAAGACCATCGACTAGGAGAGCACCAACGTTGGCCCCAGCACCAATGACAAGACCATCTCTGCACATAGTGGGATTAGAATAAACAAGAAAGCCATGACTCACAATTCCAAGGGGAAGAAAATACGAATATTGACAGTCACCTGTCAATGGCTTTAGGGAAATCTATGTGATGAATTGCAGGGAAGTTCAAGCCATTGGCCTGTAAGTACTCAAATAACCTGCAAGACATGAAAAAATATTAAATATGTTAAACCTCAAAGGACAAAATAGACTCACAGTGCTGTTGAGCATGATGGATAAATAAATCCTAAAAATCTCTCTTTTGACTGTGTTTTTTTACCTCCTAGCAGCATGCACCCTGCCTGTCTTCTCCACACCATATGGAACATTATGTAACAACATTGTTATATCATCAACATCCTTAAGAATATCTAGCTGCTCGTATGATTCATCACCACGAAGAGTGACAGCTAGTCTAGTGCCTATACACACCACAAAAAAGGACAAATTGATGAGATTAGGCAAAACAACATACTCCCTTCGTTCCGAAATGTAGGTTGTTTTAGTTTTATCGTAAGTCAAAACTCCTCTAACTTTGACCAAGTTTATAAGAAAAATAAATTAACATCTACAGAACCAAACTGAATTATCAAGATATATTTCATGGTGGATTTAATGAAACTAACTTGATGTTGTAGATGTTTGGTGCATTGTTCTATGAACTTCGTCAAAGTTAGAAAAGTTTGACGTAGGACAAACTAGAAACAATCTTTATTTTGGAACAGAGGGAGTACCTTTTCTTCTAATCTGAACTAGAAAGTTCATTTTCTATGATTCTGTCTTCGCAGTGAAATATTTGTCCTTAAATTATTAGCAAAGAAACAATAATGTCATGGTCTAATTCAAATAACTACCTTCTGGCAAAAGTTTGTGTGCACCACTTGACAATTCGTCGAGGTTGACAAGTACAATTGCATGTGGGAGTGGCTTTGTCAACTGCTCCGATAAGGGGGTCAGCACGCCCATGCTGATGTCAACTAATCTTTTCAGTGCAAGCCTCTGTACACATTCACAAAAGGAATAAAACGATTAACATATGCACTTGAGAGAGGGATAGAAATGTAGCTGTAACTCACAGCTTCAGCATCTTCTACAGGGGGGAGCTCCCTCAAAAGAATGGAATCTACAGTAGCCAGATCCTGATAGCCATAGGAGAAATAATCAACTTCAACTAAAATCCATCTAAAATTAGTCGTGTACTAGCACATAAAAACCATAGAACAGACCTTGAAAGGCATGCCAACCACAAGCTTTGCTGCAAGAGACCTATAAAGGAGCTCAGGAGCCTGGCAAATAAAGGGAGCATTCATCACTACAGAGCACATTTATTCAGATGGCTAATCAATAAAGAGTGGACAAGTGGTCACTGCAACGTTTATTTGGAGTAACAACCAATTTTTAATAGAAAAATGCATGGAAAACAACTGGTACTGCTGAACAACTAGGTGTGGATCTTAAATCAAAAACCCCGTGCTGAAATCCCTTTTAGTTTGTTATGTTATGTATTCCAGAAAATTCAACAAAAAAGAGAAGAAAAGGTGCAGATTACCTTTAATTGATCCAGGGAAACTGACATCAGTACAGAACCATCACGATGCAGGACATTTCTGTAGTCAACTTCCTCACCCTGTCATAAGAGCATGCGCAACCGATAAGAAATCTAGCATTACTAGTTTTTATGATCATACTGTGGAATTATTTTTAACAAACCTCCTTCTGCAAAGGCAATTGACCACTCCTACGCTGGAAATCGAAATAACGCCTGTGCTTTTCTTCAAACGGGGCCTGATAAAACAATACAAAATCCAAGAGAGTTAAATAAATGCTTAAGGGAAAACACAAATAGTAAGGACTTGTATTTACTATATGGTAAGTGGTAACTGGAAAGTATGGAAAGTGAAAGTTCATTACCACCCCAATTTGAAGGTTTGCAGCCTGTGCCCCAAGATTTGCCAACCTTTGGCAAGGATCAATCTCTTCTTCTGGTGGTTCTGTGAGGGAGACACGGATTGTATCACCCAAGCCATCCTGTAATAGAAGACACAGAAGATATAGTCCATGTTTTTCGTAGAACTTGCCAGTTTCCATAATTCAATTGATTTACAGGAAACTGCTAGTCTTGTACTTTATTATGTGTCGTAGCATGGCAAATGTCCCAATCAGTTAATCCACAAGAAAAGTTTAATAATCTTAAACACATTTTTTTCCAGTCAGCTATTTGATTGTAGGTTTTTTTGTTAATTTGGCATCATAACATATCATGCTGTGGAACTGACAAAATTTATTTTAAAAATATTCGTCCTCAAAGCTTCCAGCTATAAGCTCCAAGAGAAGCAAGTATTCTTCATCCCGAGAAGAGGCTACCATTTCCATGTCATTTACGTCATTTCCAGATTAAACATTTGAAAGAGATTTAATTTCATACAACATAAACAAGTAGTGAAGCAATTACCATTAGCAGTGTCCCAATGCCAATAGCAGACTTCATCCTTCCATCTTCACCCTCTCCAGCTTCTGTAACACCCAAGTGCAAGGGATAATCCCATCCAAGGTTATACATTTCTGCCACAAGCAGGCGATATGCTTGGACCATGATAACAGGGTTACTAGCTTTCATCGAAAATACAAAGTTGTGGAAGTCCAACTTCCGACATATCCTAGCAAATTCCAAAGCAGACTCAACCTGCAACATTGTGCAGAAGATGTCAAACTTTTATATACTACTATTTAAATATATCCTCAGAATTGAGATAATCACCATTCCCCGTGGAGAATCACCATAGTAGCTCATTATGCGGTCAGAAAGACTGCCATGATTTGTTCCTATACGCATTGCTCTCCCATACTGCTTGCATTTCTCAACTAATGGAGAAAACACCTGAGACAAAATTAATATGGTTCTGTAAGATAACATGCCATATGTTCACATTGATTGAAACAGAACTAAGAGTGACAATTTTTCAACCTTCTCAATATGCTCGAGCTCTTTTTGGTAGTCATCATCAGTATATTCCAGCTTTTCGAATTGAGCACGACGATCAGCTGCCAGTACAGTTCTCAGCATTTCACAATAATAAAAACACGACAGACTAAAATGAGGGATGTCAAGATTTCACTCACCAAAATTTCCTGGGTTCACACGAATTTTGTCAAAGCATTCTGCCACCCTTAGAGCTACTGTAGGAGCAAAATGAATATCGGCCACTAGTGGAATGTTGTAACTATACAAACACAGTGAAAAGGGTGAGGACGCATGCATGCGAACTCAGTGAATGTGAAGAAAATGACACCTTACTTCTTCTGAACCAGAGTGTTCTTGATCTCAAAGCAGGCATCAGCTTCCTTCCTACCCTGGACGGTTATTCTAACAATATCAGCTCCTTTATCTGCTATCCTCATCACCTGAAATGGTGGAAGTGATATGTTAATTAGCTAAATGCACACAAAATAGAAATCATCTGAAAAAGACTGAGTAAAATCTCCCGCATTCAAACTCTGTAGAGAATACTAAGAACAATCAACATGAATTTCAGATGGGATGCACCTCCTCTACTGTTTTTGCAACATCCTTGGTATCAGAAGTCGTCATGGTTTGAATCCTTATGGGATGATCACTGCCAAGTGGCACATTCCCCACCATCACGGTTCGAGTTTTCCTCCTCCTCGTCTGGTGTATTGATTCACAGTACTTTTGCCTGGGTACTGAAGGACGCAGAAAGAACAGTTCATTCAGTTAGGAAAAGAGTGCATAGATTAAATCTGGGACAGATCCCTTGCCTTGAAAAATACACGTGCAAGGACACAAGAGCATGCAAATTATACCTAAAAGTGGGCTTCCTTCTGAAGATGGCTCGAGCTCCATGGTCTCCGAACCAGTACTTGAGCTCTTCGCCACGAGTGCCCTGCCTCTGGAGGAGCTTGTCCTCATCGTGCCAGCGCCGGGAGCAGACAAGACCTTCGCAAAGTCGACGCTCCTGGTGAACCCGACGCCACCATCACGCACTCTGACATGTGGGAGAGGAGCTGGAGCCACACCGGTGGCCATGGCTGTCCTCAAGCAGCAGGAGCTCACCTACGCAATCCTACAAACACCTGCAAAGCAACCAACACAAGTGGTGACTGGTTAGGTGAGCAGTGGCTGCTGATCCTGGTGGCCTTTAATCGGCACAAGTGGAATATACCCTATCGCTGGAGGAGGGAGAACAGGACAAATACGGTGTGTGTGCTACTAAACCAGAGCATTTAACAATTCGTGCAACGAAATTGACAACATAACTCATGCAGTGAAATTGACACGCTTCTCTTATAATCCATCTTATTTTTTTCCGGCCGAAACATGATTTTTCCCCCTGCAACCAATCAGCCAAAACAGTGTTTCGACTTTTTTTTTTCCAGCAACGGTGCCAACATGGTTTGCATAATAAACCACATAAAAAATTCAACAAACTCGAATCAACCGCCGTTCCCAGGGTGAAGGAAACAAGGAGGGGGAAAGTAAATCCGAAGACGAAAACGGCCTAGATCCTTATTGGCAAACGAACGGGAGAAATGGCCGGCTCAATATCGTCCTAACCCAAAAGAGGATTCTACTGAAATCGATGAAGCTGCAACCTGACAGACCGACTGTGGCAAATCCTCCCATCCACACAACACAAATTCCCCAAACCAAATCCAAGCAAGCATCCACAGAACCAGCTAGTGAAGCCTCCACCTCTGGCTCAGGCGTTCAGCAACATGCCCAGGCTGAACGGGAGAATAATCCAGCTAAACCAAGCACGAATCCCGCCCCAGCCACATAGCACGACGAACGCGATCGGACATGGGAGGCAGGCAGCAAGCTAGAAATTCTCACCGAACCTCGCAGCTCCGTGTGGGCGACACCTCGCCCGCGCCCCTCCCTTTCGGTGACCGAACGGAGCGCGCGAGTGCGCGAGTTGTCTCTCTTTTTTTTCCTTTTTCCAATTAGCGGGGGGCCGAAGAAGAGGAGGAGCTCGTGGCAGTGGCACGCTAGCTCGTGGTGGGTTTTCTACTGGATAGCCTTTTATCTCCGAGCCGCAGGGGCCGCCCGAGCCGCCACGTGCACCCGGTCTATGTACGCCGCTGGGTCCTTGTGGCACTGACGCTTCGGCCTACGACTCACGGGTTGTGTGGACCGGGTGCGGGGAGGCGCGGCGGCTGAGGTGTGGGAGGTTTATGGATTCTCAAACGGCTACAGGAGCTATCTGAGAGCTCCAAATCTAAAGGGCCTGCCAACCAACAGCTCCTCGCACGGAGTCTCGCGATTTGCGCTGACTGGAGCCGATTTGAGCGACGGGAGCCGAAAAATCGAGCTTCAGTACTATCTCCGATAAACAATACTTAAAATACAACACTTATTTGTGTTTTGGATAGCGCTACATAAAAAAAAAATCAATATTTATTCAATATTTTCTCCAACAACAAGATCCAAAAGAAAAAAAAATTCTATAAATAGGTTTTCAGGAGAGATGATACCTATATTTGGGTTGTGCCTCTCAGGCAACCCAAAATAGGTCTCCCATATATGTACTCTGTTGGAGGCTGATTTTGAATCTCTTGCTACCTATTTTAGGGTTTGATGCCCATATGAGTTTATTGTTGAAGACAGTCTCACCCCCGGCTCCTCCTCGTCTCTGTGGACCCATCACATGGCTATGGTCCACTTTACCCTGGGGCACAAGGAGAAGGGCCTCTAGGGTGGCAATGGTGAACGCCGGCGCGGTGAGGGGCATAGGCAGCGCGGGGGAAGGGAGGGGCGAAGGCGGTCGGCATGGGGAGGAGCGGAGGCGGCGCGGCGTTGGGGAGGCACGGCGCCGGCGTGGCGTTGGGAGGAGCGGAGGCGGCCCCATTGCGCGGAGGAGCAACGGACGTGCGGCTTTGGTCGTACGGCTCGAGAAGATGAGAATGAGAGATGTGTGCGGTGGGGATTTAACGGATAAGGTTGAGGAGTGAAAAAGAAAAGAAAAAAAAAGAAAGAAAAAAAATAAAAGTATTGTTGATATTTCATCTTTTTGGGCTACCAGATAAAGTTGTTTGGTTAAATGGTCTAAAAAGATTGCTTCAATTTCTAAAGTGAATCTATCCTCGAGATAAAACCACAATTAAAGCTGTTTTAACTTAAGCCCGGAGCCTAGTTCCGCCTAGACCAGCCCGCCATGATTTTATCGTGTCCGTCGTTTTCCCATGCGACACGAGCCGTTATTTTACGAAGAAGAAAAAAGTTACGCTCTCCTCCTACACAGGAATGCGATGGAACCTTGTTTTTATCGTGTCCGTTATTCGCTCGCTGCTCTTGGTAGATGCAGATGGAATCTTATTTTTCTTTTCTGGAGTATTGAATTTGCTTTGTTCAGGCTTTGACTTTCAGATTATTTCTGCGTCTAGATTTATTTTTTGTTTAATTTTTCAATTTTACAAGATTTTGTGGCGGTAACTCGAGAATTACCTACTCTAAACTAAATCCTAGTACTGCTTCGGTTGCGTCACGGCTAGCAACAGTTGCGCTCGTGTGGTCAGCTGTCAAGCCCACATGTTCAAGGTAAAGAAGAACGTGCGCCACTAGTCACCCGGTCACCCCCATCGAAGTATCGAGCTCACACCCATGGGCCATGGCGCTACAGCCTACGGCAGGTGTCGTCTGCAGCTGTACGCCGGACGGAGACCAGAAGTTGCATCGGCGAGTCACGCCACATGTGTGGACCCAACAAAGGTCAAAAACACATTACGTGTTGTCACTTGTCCCGTCCAAACCACCGATCGCACGTGGGAGAAGATTTTTGAACACATGTTTCGCAATTGGGACTTCCAGGACACGAGCAAAGACTGACCATGTATATTCCGAGTACTGAAGTCGGTCTCGTCCTATGTCATGGGCACAAAAGAGCCATGTTTTTTCTTCCCTCAAAGCTTCAAGGACATGTCTGGGTATCTGTGGAAATTAACCTGTAATCAGTTTGGTATAGTCCACGTTTAGTCCAAGTTTAGACGCCTACTCAGGATGTTCTTTGCCTCCGAAAGAACACAAAACAGTACAAGAAATCGCCTCCTGGTTGCATCACTCGGGAGTCAGCAGAGCTTTATAGGACGATGATATTTTTTTTTAGAGGAATAGGACGATGATATTGATACCGTGACAGTGAGAGATGTTGGGTTCTTTAGTCGCTCCTAAAATTCATGTCACGTTAAATGTTTAAATATTAATAAAGAGTATTAAATATAGATTAATTACAAAATCAATTACATAGATGGAGGCTAATTTGCGAGATGTTTTTTTAAGCCTAATTAATATGTCATTAGCACATGTTTACTGTAGCACCATGTTGTCAAATCATGGACTAATTAGGCTTAAAAGATTCATCTCGCAATTTAGTCTTAAGTTGTGTAATTAGTTTCGTAATTAGTCTATATTTAATACTCCATGTATGTATCTAAACCATTTGATGTAACATGAATTTTAGGAGCACACGTAGAAACCAGAGCCTGATACTTCATGGAGCGGTCGAGCTGCCTGCAGAAGTGCAAGTGCAGATATTAGGGGGCGTTTGGTTCGAGCTACTAAACTTTAGTAGCTACTAAACGGTTTAGTCACTTTTAGTAACTCCAGAGTTACTAGAGATGACTAAGATCTTTTTAGTAGCTTTTAGTCATAGTATTTGGTTAAAAAGTTACTAAAGTAAATAAAAACTACTAAATTTAGTAGCTACTAGACGAACCAAACATACCCTTACTACTGTGAGAAGATGGACTTGGGGTTGGGCCAATTATGGCCTAGTGGCGTGCATTCCATCCCAAATAGGGCGAGCATGAATCCACAGATGAATGCAGCGCATACTCCTCGCATACAGGCCAGGGCCAGGCTACGAAGCTACACGCCAAGATATTTGCAGCAGCGAGGAAAAAGTCTCTTCTACGGTTCTACCACTTGAACTATCACTAGTTCATCAACCCATGCTGTCGCAGGGTTTAGATTTTTTCCGTATAGGCTAACTTTGTGATACTTAAGCAACAGAAAACCATGTTTAATATATATTTAAATAAAAATTACTTCATTCAATTTACCTAAAATGATAAGAACTTATTAGGTTTCCTAGAAATAATAGTGAAGCTGAATTATTTATCTACATCATCTCTGAATTGTTGATATGTGCACCAAAGAAAATATAACATAAGATGATGCTTTTTATGGAGTACTTCTTTGGCAAAAGTTCCATCACTGTCTAAAAGTTCCATCACTATCGGAGTTATTTTCTACTTCGTTTAAATTAAAACAAACAAAATGAAGTTAGGTTAGTTTTATTACATTGCTACAGGGAGCTAAGTAAAATAAATGGGTTTTAAAAAAAGAGGAATACAATAAAGTATAATATTTGTTGGGGGCGTGCCCCACCTGTGGGCACCCTGTATGGCTCGATAGCCGCCCTGACTTCTCGCGGGAGCGAAATAGCGAGAGTTGGGCTCCGGCGCACGTTGCATTTCGCTATAGTAACAAGCGAAAGGGCTGGCCATGTGTGGAAAAGGATGTGCCCGGCCCCCTTCTTGCCTCAGCAAAGTGAAGGCGGCACTTGCCGTCCCGTTCTTAGACATTCCTTTTCGCCGTAGCGAAAAGGTGGATTCTGCGGCTGGAACCGGACTCGGCCAAGCTCTTTTCCTTTCGCACTAGCGACTGGCTCGCTGACGCTCTCAGCTATTCGCTCAAGCGAATAGTTTTTAACTGTTTGGTTAGTTGTTTTTGCAGGTTCCATCAAACGAGGGCGTGTAGTCGGTCTTGGCTATTCGCAATGGCGAATAGTTTTTAACGATTTGGCGGACAGTTCCTGCAGGTTTCGCTAAAGGAGGAACCGACTGCATTCGTGTGGCAGAACCATCTAATCCAATGCCTCCCAGTAGTACTTGTCTTCCATTAGACACTAAGTACTCAAGAGATAACACTAAACTACGCAGTCCCTTCAAGCACACCCCAAGAGAAAACTCGAAAATCCATATTTTTTCATCAGGATCATAAATGAGAGAATAAAGCTTACAACATTC